CAGCGATTCCCAACCTGTGGTACGCGTACCCCTAGGGGTACGCGATAGGTTGTTTAGGGGTACAGAAAAAAGTTAGTTATTATGGCAGAAAAAATAATATATTATGTATCACAAACTAATAATATTAAAAAATCATTAGGTAAAATATGTTCCTTGCAACAATCACAACTTTATTATACATATTTTCATTTAAAGTTTTTTTCTTCAATTTAAAGTTACAATATGTAAAATTAACATTAAATGAGGGGTACAATCTGGAGATACGACATGTTACGGGGTACGCTAATGAAAAAAGGTTGGGAACCACTGCAGTAGAGCATCGTTTATCCGAAAGTCGGTTATCCGAAAGCATTCCAGTCGGCAAATTTTAATTTTCGCTAGTGCTGTGGCGCTGCAATCTTTGACTGTCTTTGGCGACTCCAATATTTTTTGTTGGTGTGTGTGTTTTAGCTGGCAGCACTGTTGTGTGATGTTTTTCTAAGGACTGTGTGTCGTGTTGAATCGAACATTTTTGATAGTAGATCAACTTCTAAAGTATATTTTTTTTGGTTTTTATATTTTTCAATATATTTATTTTATTTGTACAAAATAAAAAAATAATTTTTTACAATACAATAGCCACGATTATTATTTTAAAAAGTTTTCGTTAGACTTAACATCGACGAAAATTCAACGCAAAGCGATACGCAACGAAGAAAAATTTCAACATGGGATAGGTTAATATATTTTTTCGTAAGTAATCGGTTATCCGAAAAATAAGTTATCCAAACAACCCCATTCCCCAATTGATTCGGATAAACGATGCTCTACTGTATTATTATTGTATTAATATTGGAGAGTAGAGAAGATAATGTTGTAAACCTGCTGAGGAGGGGCCTACAGTACACAGGTGAAAATAAACATACTTTTTTATTTTATTATTTTTGACTTCATCCTTTTGCTAATTTGAAACTAAAGAAGTATAATAATAAGTCCTATTGATAATGTAATATTCTTTATCAGGCTATATTAAGGCTAATTAATAATCAGTGAGTTTCCAGTATGATTATATCTAAATTTAATCAATTAATAGCTCTGGAAGCAAGCATCAGATGGATGGCTGGGTAGTATAACTGGCAATGCATCTGCACAGTAGACAGGAGTTGCAGGTTTGAGTCCTCTGGACCAATTCTTTTTTCCAACAATATTTCTATATTAATTTATGTATACAGTAGAGCATCAATTATCCGAATACCGATCAACTGAAACATCGGTTAACCAAAAGTGTTCCAATCAGCAAATTCAAATTTCCACTAGTGCTATGGCACTGCAATGTTTAGCTATGTCTTGGGCTACTCGAATATTATTTTTGTTGGTGTGCGTGTTTTAGCTGGCAGCACTGGCGTGACCACAAGAGGGTACTTAAGGACGTGCCAGTATTTGAAAGAGGCTTTTTTCCCCATCATGACTGGTGAGTTTTGCTTGTTTTTTGTGGTGTTTTTCTGAGGACTGTCGTGCTGAATCGAAACATTTTTGATACTAGATTAACATCCGAAATATAATTTTTTTTGTTTTTATATTTTTCAATATATTTATTTTGTTTGTGCAAAATAAAGAAATAATTTTTAACAATACAATAGCCATGATTATTATTTTTTTTTAAATTTTTGTTAGGCTTAACATCAACGAAAATTCAATGCAAAGCATCACATAATGGAGAAAAATTTCAACATGGGATAGATTAATATATTTTTTCATACACGTTCAGTTATCCAAACAACCCCAGTCCCGAATTGTTTTGGATAATCGATGCTCTACTGTAATTATTAAGTTTATCATGAGATGGCAGCTTAACTGCCTATCTCTAACCATATTGTTTTGTACCTGATTATAAATTAGCCTTAAGAAGCCTGATAAATAATCCAACACATTGTTCAGTAATTCTAGATTACAGACAAAACACTTTTTGACCTATGAAGCACTCCATTTATTTTCTGCTCAATTACAATATATCACTTGGAATATCTCAGTACATATGTCAAATCTCAAAATTCTGGCTTATTCGCAACATCAGCCTTGCCAAGTTGAATATATTTGCAAACAATCATGTTTAATTGTCATGCAGTTGCTTTGAACTTCCATAACATTTTAAACTCTCAGCACTTCTTTTAGGTTTTCCTAAGTAATGTAAACAAACAAGAAACAAGTTCAAAAAACATTCAAAAATTTCAAATTAAATGTTCAAAATTGGATGTCAATGGATTTTCAAATTTGCTGCATCTTTTAGATCTCTATATTGTCCTAGTAATGGAGACCTTATGGACATAATTTTTTGTGATTTAAAACAGATTATTTTCAATAATATTTCTCAAAAAATACATACTGGTAAATTGATTTTTCTGCCCAGACATCACATGAAAGACACTCAGTCACACATATTCAATAAAATCACATACTGAGACACAACTCATGTCTCAGCATGTGATTTACAATTTTTAAAAGAAATGCCTCTTATTGTTTCTTATTAAAAGTTTATAAAAGTTGAAAACAGATTGATAGTTTTGGGGCTTCTAGAATCACGAGGCCCTAGGATGCAGCCTAGTCAGCCTATAGGTAAACCTGGCACTGCAGGTAATGGAAGTTCTCAACACTGTCTAATTTTATCCTTCAGTGTTATTCTAGCAAGCCTTTCATTTTCTTTTGAACAAATCATTACTTTTGTTTTTGTATGAGTTATTAGGTTGTATTTGGCCTTTAATACATCACTGAAGTCTCTCTATGCCTTCTGAAACTCTTGTTTACAGTTTGCAACCAGAGCTATGTTGTCTGCAAAATGTATTGTATTGAAGATTTTACCATTTATCTTTATAAATAGTAAAATCTTTAACACAAATCTTTTTCCCTATTAATGCTATTTGGTCTTTGTGCAATTTATATATTATTCTTCTGTCCCTACAGTCAATTCTCAATGCTTAGGACAATAATATTGAACATTCTATCTATATTACCAAATGCTTTTTCTGTGCTGATAAAAGCAATGAATACTGGCATATCTGCTCTTACTGATTTTTCTATGATCATGCGTAAACTTAATATGGCCTCTCTTATACTTTTGTTTTTCCTAAAACAAAATTGTTCCTCAGAGATATTGTTACTGATGTTCTGCTAACCTGTACGATTTTCAACAACTATGACACTAGACTTGATATTCTTTGGGATGATTCCAGTGATATAAATTTGATTATATAATTCATATAGAGTGGATCTTCCATTATCCCCGAAACTTGGATGATTACTGTGGGATTCCATCTGTTCTTACTGTATTTCTTGGATTTAATTTTTTAGTACTCTTTCAAATTTTTTTTTCCGTATCCATGGGACAACCTCATCTACATCCATCCATATGTTCCTTTTCAATCATGTGTTTATTGAGTAGGTTTCCTTGGTAAAATTCTTCTGTATATTCTTACCACCTATACACTGCTTTGTTATCTTCACTAAGAATATTTCTGTTTTCGTCCTTGATTGTCTGTGTTTTTTTTTGTTTAGTGTTGTTGTCTTCTTATACAATACCATATACCCTCTTGATGTTTCCTGTTATTTCACTAAAAAGATATATGATTTATCTAAAAATAATTGCTACAGATATGATGAAGCTCTGAACTTTACATTTTTTGTTCATTTACCATAGCACATAAATTATGGGGCTATTATAATCTTCTTAAATTGGAAATTATCAGATAAAAGTTTTTCTATGCAATTTTATACAGGTCTTATATAAAGACAATATCTGTATGACTATTTTCAAAAATGTATTGTGCTAATCTTGCACAATAAATTTTTGTTGTTAAGATTAATGCTGTCTTATTTTTCTTATGTTTAGTAAATGTACGAGAAACTATTGTAATAACATTGTTATAAAATTAACAAATATTATATATACTTTTGTATATTAACACATGTAATGAGAGAAACTGATGCTTATACAATAAAAAAAACTGTTAATTTATAAAAGCAATAACTACAGATCATTTTTGATTTAAAAATTATTTACTTTATTTGACTTACCTTTTTATTTCGATTTTTTGCTAATAAATTTCTAAATACTAAACAAGGATCTTTCTCAGATGCCCANTTTCGCAAGTTAATTATTCCTATCGAGCAATTTTAGAAGCCTTATTATTTTATTCAAAAGAACTGCAAAAAACTCATTTAACAAGTGCATTATTTTATAAAGATACTGCACAATATATGGATTCAATAGAAGAACATAATGAAGGATTGGCTAAAAGATTTAATATTGGTAAACAAAGTAAACTAATAGATTTAGTCGGAACACTTCATATTGACTTGTCACATCAACCTAAACTGTTAATTAATAATATTGATTTAAGAATTAAATTGGAAATCTAAAGACAATTTTGCTTTAATGGCAAATAATGATGAATATAAAATTATTATTAAAAATGCATCTCTAAAAATTAATAAAGTAGCTCCTATCATCAGCATAAATTTATATTAAAATTTTGTTCTAACTGTTCTTTTTATTAATCTAAACATATAATAATAAATTTTCTGTATATACTTTAGAATATTTTTTAGTAATATTTTTATAACATGATATATAAAAATCATATACTCATAAAAGATTTATAATGTAGTAAGCATTTTTAATATTGAATTTAAACATTTAAAATTTAGACTAAGTTCAATGAATCATGCAATGAGTGGCTTTGTGCTAGTTTTATTGATCTTGTTATAGTAACTGGAAATTAGTACAAGCTCCTTAGATGGATAAAGAAGACACAGAAATGTATGATACCAAAATTAATTCAAATCATTCAAATGTGGATGCTCTGATGGAATGAAAGATGAGGCTTGCACTTCACAATAGAGTGGATCTTCCATTATTCCCAGAGCTTGGATATCAGAACAATGCTGACTTATCATGAGGCTGAATGAACCAATCATACCTTATCAGCAGACATTTGAAACTTTTACAAACATCAGTGTTGTAATTTACAATATGAAGAAGAGGATCTGTCTGATGATGAATACTTGCGTTTAGATAGCCTGGGACACTAACATGATTACTGTATATATTGTTTATAAATTTGAAAAGTGTAATACCACTTTATATATGAAATTAAACACACAAGTAGTAGAAAAAACTTTAAAAACTATTTTGTACTTTATATGCATATAGTTTTATCATAAATAATATACAGTAAATAACAGTCTTAATAGAAGTCCATATTTCAGAAAATGTTTAAGCCCAGTGGGCTTCTAATAGACACACTATATTATTCAGGGATTATTTCAGTTTATAATTCATTGTGTAACTGAAGTAATGAATTTATGCAATTAGTTAGTATGTGTATTAATATAATTCATTATTTATATTGTTGTTATAGAAATATAACTTCACAAAAACATATGATTATTTTAAAATAAGTTTCTGTATCTCATGTTTAAATGATTACAAATCCTGTTTTTGGAAAAATATCAAAAAGAAATAAGTTTTTGAAATTTTTAAATTTTATCAAATATTTGAATACAGCAGTAGTAGTGATTTGGGTGGCACTAATCACAAAATTAATTTTTAAATAAATTTCCTAAATAAAATTAATTTTTCTAATCACAAAATTAATTTTTAAATGAATTTCCTAAATAAAAATTAATTTTTCTAAACACAAAATTAATTTTTATTCAAGTAAATAATAATTTTTAAAAATAAATAATTTGTATAAATTGTGAAAATTTGTTATAATCACAAAAGTAATTTTTACTCAAGTAAATAATAATTTGTATAAATTCTGAAAATTGGTTTAATAACAAAATTAATTTTTACTTAAGAAAATAATAATTTTTAATAATAAATAATTTGATAAAATTTGTTTTAATAATAAGTTGTTCTGAAAATTGCTTTAATCACAAAATTAATTTTTACTCAAGTAAATAATAATATTTAATAATAAATAATTTGTATAAATTCTGAAAATTTGTTTTAATAACAAAAGTAATTTTTACTCAAGTAAATTTTAAAATATTAAGTTGTATCCTATTCTGAGTAAAGTAGGAAAATATCTGGGACGAAAAGTGTTAAATTTTGCATCAGGTGTCGGATCAGATGTAATTGCAGGGAAATCGTTTAAAGAATCAGCAAAATCGCATTTAAAAGATATTGGATCTGAAATTAAAGATGATGTAGTTAAAAAAGTACAAGGAGGATCGGGTATAAAAAGAAAATGACTGAAAAGATTAATCCAGTCGCAGAATAAAAGACAGAAAGTACAAGATATATTTACGGAATAAGAAAAATGGACCCGCATTCATGTCCTTGCACCAAAAGTGAATTGGACTTATTTAGTACCGTTTTGACCCAATTAGCTGACGATAATACATCGGAAGTTATAGTCCATCCTGTTGCGACAATTTTGGATAGTCGCGCGCCAATCGAATTTTATGTATCCGGCTCTGGAGAAAATTATATTGACTTGCATTCAATTTATCTGCACGTTCAAGCAAAAATTGTAAAGAAAGATGGAACAGATATTCCCGCAGATGAAAAAGTAGCCCCTATTAATTATTTTTTGAATAGTTTGTTTTCTCAATGCAGTGTTTTTCTGAACGACAAACAAGTAATTTCGCAAGTTAATTATTCCTATCGAGCAATTTTAGAAGCCTTATTATTTTATTCAAAAGAACTGCAAAAAACTCATTTAACAAGTGCATTATTTTATAAAGATACTGCACAATATATGGATTCAATAGAAGAACATAATGAAGGATTGGCTAAAAGATTTAATATTGGTAAACAAAGTAAACTAATAGATTTAGTCGGAACACTTCATATTGACTTGTCACATCAACCTAAACTGTTAATTAATAATATTGATTTAAGAATTAAATTGGAAATCTAAAGACAATTTTGCTTTAATGGCAAATAATGATGAATATAAAATTATTATTAAAAATGCATCTCTAAAAATTAATAAAGTAGACGTAAGTTCATCTGTTCAAATTGGAAGAGAAAAAGCATTGCAAACAGGTATTATAAAAATGCCATTCCGCAGAACTGATATAAAGGTCTTTACTTTAAGTAGTGGAATTCAGTCTACAAATATATCAAATGCTGTTATTGGTCAGCTACCTTATAGAATGACGATCGGTTTAGTTTCTAATTCGGCATTTAACGAAAATGTAAAATATAATCCTTTCAATTTTAAAAATTCTAATTTAAATTATATATGTTTATTAAAAGACAACCAAATGATTCCTCCGAAACCTTATACCCCTGATTATACAAATAACATATACGCGAGAAATTTTATATCATTATTTGAAGATATAGGATGTATTAATCACCATAAATTTACAAATATATCTTACAAGGATTATAAAGACGGCTATACTTTATATTGTTTTGATCTTACTCCTGATCATTCTGCATCAGAATCAAATGTAATTATCAACCAACAAGGAAATATTTCAATCAAATTTAAATTTTCGACTGCATTATTAGAAACTGTGAACGTTATTTGTTTACTCGAATACAATAACACTCTAGAAATTGATCACTCAAGAACTGTTTTTGTAGATTATTAATGAATACTATCACGTTGTGGAGACTGGCTTCCAGTGACTCGAAAATAAAAAGAACTTTCGGAGGCGTTTTTGCATCCGATGATTTACCTGTTTGCATCGCTAATAGGAAATCGTTTATAATTAATTTAGATGAGAAAAATAAGCCCGGAAGTCATTGGGTATCCGCGTTCTTCGATGGAAAAACTTGTTATTATTATGATAGTTATGGAATGAAACCGACAAAACCAAAAATTATTAAATTTATAAAACGAAATTTCAAAAATTGTTACTGGAATAATTTTGTTCATCAGAGTTTATATTCAAAAAATTGCGGATATTTCTGTTTGTATTTTCTATATAAAATGAATAGATATCAATGTTTAAAAGGACTGAGTGTAACAGATAAATTTTATAATGACGAATTTGTAAAAAAATTTGTTAAACATCATTTGTATTTAGCACGTCTGCATGTTATAATGTATAATCAATGCTGTAATTCAATGAAAAATAATAAAAATATTTAAAATATAAAAAACTTTTATTTATTTCTTAAAACACTTGTCACCAGAAACCTGTTAAAAGAAAACATAAATTAAAAAATCATATAATTCTATTTACCAATTTTTATATAATAATAAAATATATTTACCATGTTCGATCATATATGATTTGTATGAATATACATCACATAAGCTGTAATGAGGAACAAATCTGGTATGTTCTTTGCAAATTTTTCTAACAGGGATGCATTTGGAGGTATACATTTATAGGAAAAATCATCCTGGTTCTTTGTGACTCAGCAGTAATGAGGGAATTTTTTAGTATGTACAGGACACGGAATTCGAATTTTTGAAGATTTTGGTACCCCCTGCTCTTCGAGATTAAAGTAGGGAATACAAACATCATATATTTCAGCAGTTAAATTTAAGTAATTTTTTTCAATCTCTCCTCCTTTATAATAAAATACTTTATACTTTAAAAATAAATCATATAAAATTTTACATACATTTTCACTTTTTTCCCAATTTCCATTATATTTTTTATTGTACACTAAATAAAGGCCATGTAAATTATTAGCAAATTTTACATTTTTTTTGTTCGAATAACTTAAATCATTAAAATAAATATTTTCATTATAAAAATTAATAATTTGAAATTCATTCGAATTTCGTGCCACAAACCCCAACTGCACAAAGTGTTAAACGGTATATTCATCTCATATATCATAAAAGCCTCAAAATCAATAACCACTCCAATATTGCCAGGCTTGAAATCTAATTAATATTAATATTGATTAAATATTGGAATCTAAATAACTAGAATCTAAAATATATTATTATTAATTAAATATACTTACAACTCATTTTAAATCGTTGAAAGTTTTTGATATTTAAAAGCTGAAAGTTTTTAAGTCAATGTTAAAAACCTTCTGGGTTCTGACTGATATTTATACAAAAATTTGAGGTTATAAAAACTAATTTTTTTCAGCTGCCTTAAGCAAAATATTAAATATAAAATACTTATTTTTATAAGAAGGGTTATAAAGGGTTATAGTAGTGGTTTGGGTGGCACTAATCACAAAATTAATTTTTAAATAAATTTCCTAAATAAAGTTAATTTTTCTAATCACAAAATTAATTTTTATTCAAGTAAATAATAATTTTTAAAAATAAATAATTCGTATAAATTGTGAAAATTTGTTATAATAATAATATAATAATTTTATTGTCTATTGGGAATTACTTCCCTATTACAAGGGGTTGTAGAAACATGTATCCATATTTATTTTTAATAAAACTATACATTTTCTTTAATTTTTTAGTTTGCATTTATTTCTTGCGTACATATGCACATATTCTTTAATTTAATTTGTTTTGTTATTATAAGTTTCTACTATTTTACAAAANTAATTTTTATTCAAGTAAATAATAATTTTTAAAAATAAATAATTTGTATAAATTGTGAAAATTTGTTATAATCACAAAAGTAATTTTTACTCAAGTAAATAATAATTTGTATAAATTCTGAAAATTGGTTTAATCACAAAATTAATTTTTACTCAAGTAAATAATAATATTTAATAATAAATAATTTGTATAAATTCTGAAAATTTGTTTTAATCACAAAATTAATTTTTACTCAAGTAAATAATTTGTATAAATTCTGAAAATTTGTTTTAATAACAAAAGTAATTTTTACTCAAGTAAATTTTAAAATATTAAGTTGCATTGATAAAATTTGTTTAATCACAAAATAAATTTTTAATAATAAATTAATGTTTTAGTAAGAAGTTTTATTACAAATTTCTTTCGACGTATTATAACACTGAAATTATTTTTCTAATCACAAAAGTAATTTTTACTCTTTATCACAAAATAAATAATATTTTAGACTATTAATACTTACTATAAGAAATGTGATTGGATGGTTTTTGATATAAATTAAATTTTACGAGATGTTAGAATTTATTTTAATACCAGGTTCAGTCATGGAAGCATACGGTTTTATTATTACCTACAACAGTGACAGAAATTACTCTGTTTCTCCTCGTTTGTACAAGTCTTTGGATAGCCGCATTGCTGCAGTAAATAATTTTTCATTCGATATTCCCGATAATTTTCCTATTGTTTTACGTTATTTTAAAGTTAACAGAGAAATATGGAAAGGAGATGGAAAGTTTGGTTTTGTAATTGTTGACGAGGACGGAAGAATTAACGAAGTTAGTAATAAACTATATTATTCGTTTGAGGAATGTTCTGATGTTATGAACGAAGTTTATGTTGAAAAGAATAAAAAGAATATATTAATATTTAGAGAGATAAATTGCGGATCAAAGCATTATAAATTTACCAAAGTTCACAAAATTGATTGATATGTATTTCAAACATCCAAGTAACTGTATAATCGCAGGACCGTAGCAATGTGGAAAGACTACTTTAGTAAGAAAAATTATTCGCTGTAAAATTTATGAAAAATCATTAAAAAAATTTTATGGTGTTATTCTGTATATTTACCATTTTTTCAAGAAGAAAAAGATATTACATTCATGTATGGGTTACCTGAATCCGTGCAAGGATGGGATTTAGTAATAATTGACGATTTGATGCATGAACTCAGTTCAAAAACTGCATTCTTGTTTGGCACTCCAACCTAATATTTCATCAAATATTAAAATAAAGGGGGGCGTTCCCAACTCTCAGCGCTGCTGGTGAACTTTTCTACGCACTTCATTTGTGACAATAATTTTAAAATCAAATATTTGATTTAATCATCTTTTTGACTTTATAAAAAAATATTAAAATAAATTTTTAATATTATCAGTACAACTTAATATTATTACTACAACTTAATTTTAAAATACTAAAACAAATTTTCAGAACAACTTATTATTAAAACAAATTTTATCAATGCAACTTACTTAAGTAAAAATTACTTTTGTGATTAAAAATTATTATTTACTTGAGTAAAAATTAATTTTATGATTAGAAAAATAATTTCAGTGTTATAATACTTCGAGAAAATTTATAATTAAACTTCTTATTAAAAATCTATTCAGAATAACTTATTATTAAAACAAATTTTATCTAATTATTTATTACTAAAAATTATTATATACTTAAGAAAAAATTACTTTTGTGATTAAAACAAATTTTTATCAGTGCAACTTACTTGGGTAAATATTAATGTTGTGATTAAAACAAATTTTCAGAATTTATACAAATTATTTATTATTAAATATTATTATTTACTTAAGTAATTTTGTGATTAAAACAAATTTTATCAATTCAACTTACTTGAGTAAAAATTAATTTTGTGATTAAAACAAATATTAAAAATTATTATTTACTTAAGTAATTTTGTGATTAAAACAAATTTTATCAATGCAACTTAATATTTTAAAATTTACTTGACTAAAAATTAATTTTTTGATTAGTGCCACCCAAACCACTACTACTTACAGCTGATAAAATTTATCACATTTATAATAAACAATACGTATATAACCAATATCCAGCAAGAAAAATACAAAAAAACAAACATTTTCACATGTTGAATGATCATCATCAGGATAAGTGTATGCCCATTCAACATGAGTAAAAATGTTTTTGCTTTCTTATATTTTTCTTGCTGGATATTGGTATAAATGTATTGTTTATTTACATATACCTAGTTTGAGTAGTTGAATTCACATTTATATATCTAACAACTTTATATATAAACTTATTTTAGCAGCCTTGGTGGGTGGAATTAGTTGAGAATAATACATCCCTTGAGTGAGTATATGCTTCGACTATCATAATAATATACAATGAATCTTCTCTGCCACCTTTATTTGCAAAGTTATAATATGGAACTTCCATGGGTCTGCTTCATATACATTGGGATGATTTCTTTAACCAATAAAATTTATTATTCAAATTTTTCCTGACTTCATGTGCTTTATTGTTAGCAATGTACCTTATTTTATCCAGTTGTTGATACAGAGTGTTTGGATCACACATCCTGGTGAAAAATAGATGAGCCAGGTACTGTACATCTCTTGTTTTTCAGTTGCAATCACTTTCCGTTTGCATTTAATTAATTGTGCTATGAGATGTCATTCCACTCAAGGTAAGTGTTTGGACACCATACAATAAATCTTCCC